AAAATATTTCTTTTAGTTGGAAAGGAAACAAAACTTACATAATTATATTATACAAATCTACACACAAATTTACTTTCTGTAGTCACACAAATTACATGAGGTTTGGGAAAACAAAGATAACACATCTATAGAATATGTCTAGTTTCAAATTAACTGGAAAATTATAATTAGAAATATGTAAAGCATGACCGTCAGAACAAACGCGGGAAGGAAATCTGACTATACCTGAAACGTTTCGAATTGATTCGAAAGATGAAACCAAACTTCGTCCATAATTCGTACGCGACAAAAGTGGGGAAAAAAAAAGAGAGAAAGAACGCGTACGAAAAGACGGAATCAACGCATTTTATGATGAGAGCATGTGAAAGCTTTGTGAACACGTCGGTTGGAAAAACGGCTCGGCGGCGTTTATAAATAAACGATTAACGCATCGCGTATGACTCGAAATAGATATCAAGTTTGTACTGCAAAACGCGATGACAAATCGAGAGACATCTTCGCGGCATAACGCGGGTCAACGTCTCTCAATTGGACAGATACATTTCGCGTCACATCACGTTCTCTCGCGGGAATTTTCCGTCGCTCCTTCAAATCAAATCGACATCAGTACGGACGGGAAATAGGTTAAGGTCGTGCCGTGCTCGCTATTATCTGGCTACAGCGTGAAGTTGTTCATTTTTCCAGATATGACGTAACAGGACGACGCGCGCGCAACTCCGCGATCACGTGACCGTGTCGGTTTACTCGTTCGGTTTGAAACGGTTTTTCCGTGATCAGTTTTTTCGCGGACGTGAAAATGAGCGCAGTGATCGATTTATCATCGGTTCACGAGGGTAGATTTATTCGTACGAAAGATGAGCATGGTGGATGCGCGACTGTTCGAGCGATTTCGGAAAGCGCAGAACGTAATTCGCGACGACGATTGAATGTTGATGAGTCGTTTCATTCGCATTTATACTTTGCATATCAATCGCGTAATCTTCCAAAGGAGAGAAATAAGATGCGGATGAAAGAGAGAAAAATCGAATCGATGGAAAGAAATATTTGTGTTGTAAGGACGTGCATATATTACTATGATTATATACATACAGCATATAATATTTTGTATACTAATTTTGATATATGCGAATTTTGAGGAATTGGCGAATTTCATAATTTCATGTTGTTATGGAATATTTATTCGATTTTAAATGCGCCAGTTAAATTTCTAGAGGTTATACGCTCGAAGAATAATTAGGATATATTTGAATAAAGTATATTTTATTTTTGTCTCTCTCTTTCTAAGAATTTGCACAAAAAAATGTCATCACAATTTTCAAGAATACTAATTTATCCTTCATTACCATTTATCCTCCATACGCCATTTTCTCAATCGCGCTGATTTTAAATTAGCGCGTTAACGATCTTTGTCGATAAATACGTTATTGACAATGTATTGACGATATGTCGGTAAGAAAAATACCAATATGCGGCAAAAGATAAATTGCAAGAATTTCATTAGATAAAAAGGTTATACCGATCGTTTATATAGCACAAAATTCAAAGAATACGTCATTAGATGTCAGCACACAACCATTCGTAGAAAAAAATTCCTCTGCAGTGGAGAGTAAAATATAGATATACGCACACGTACACACTTAATGGCAATGAATCACTCCGCAGTAATTTGAATAAAATGGACGCAGTCACTTGCTAAACTCAAAAAAATTAAAATATTTAATATATTAAAATATTAAAGTATCTCTTTGTTCGATGAAATTAAAAAAAATATTATTTGTTTTTTATCTAAAGAATTTAACACACGTTACATTCGATTTAAAAAATTTCAACTATAAAGATACCGTTGCTATTTTTTTCATTCCTTTATTACATTTTAATGAATATAAAATTAAACTGCAATTAATTTAAATTAATGGAAATTTTTAAAATTGTGTATATTCTGTAACAATATCAGCATAAATATTTCTCGAATTTTTTAATTTTTCACCTATGAAAATATTTATATCATCGAACTATTATAAATGAAAAGTCAACATTCTTTAATTTAACTTGTTATGTATAATTATGATCACATGCGGGCATCAGTATAGCAAAAATATTTCTTTATGTCAATCCATCTCTTTTTTCCTCTCTATCATTCTCTTGTTGATTTCTGAAAAAGATCGCTGTTACAAAACACAAGTTGTTTGATATTTTGTTGTTGAACGCATCGCGCGCGGTCGTTCCAGCGAGATCGAATCGCGACGGAGTCAAAATCATCGCGACATTGGCCCGCGTTTATTTTTCCTGAAAAATAAAATGTACGTCCGCGTGCATATACGTTTTTCGATAGTCGTCGCACGAGCATCATGTAAATCGACATACGCGATTGCGTTCTCGGTTGCAATCGCGCGACGATTGCACGACGCGCAACAACACACGATATTAAAGTGAAGTGAATCTTGTGTAAAGTGCATTGGAAGTGTCGAGTGTATCATTTGATCATTAATAATAAAATGTTTGTGTGTGTGTGTGTGTGTGTGTGTGTGTGTGTGTGTGTGTGTGTGTGTGTGTGTGTGTGTGTGTGTGTGTGTGTGTGTGTGTGTGTGTGTGTGTGTGT